TATTATTCCTTTGGCTGTCAGATCTTTGCACACAGATCTTTGTGGCCGCATTGATCAGTTTATATACCTTTATACTGAGAAATCAATTCTCCTTGTGGAAAAAATTGACATTTCCTAACGTGTTTCTGTCTGGTGAAGAGCTGCAAAAAATAGGTAAAACAATAGCGTTTTGCCACACTAAGCTTCAGTCTGTGTCCACAAATTAACGCCTGATCCTATGAATATAAGAGCAAATCTTAAAGCATAGAAACTGTAGGTAATACATGTCACATTATTGTCAAAAGGTCTGTTTATAAGTGTTCTCTAATGAGCTCTGTGTCTCACATTACATTAAAAAAAATACTACGTGCTGTAGTTTGACTGCATTAGCATAATGAAAATAAGCAGGAATATGAATAGATTCATAGGTGCATTTTTGCTTTTGAATGGAGTAGCTATACACCGTGTCCTAGGTCATGAATGTTTGACTAAGGTATCCTTGGAAACCATGAAAGTGCAAAGCAGCTCAGCATGCTAGAACAGAAGATAAAAGGCATGTAAAATATAGGTGTTCTTAAATGGGCAGGTGTGAATGAGTTTGTGCCAGATACCATGTGTTTCCTAGCCCCCACTATACTAGTAGTATATTGAGCCAATCCACCCTTGTGTGCCAGTGTCATGTTGCAATATGCCTTCTTAAAATGTATGCAGGCTGCAATCAGTCCCTGAGTCTTTGCACCTCACTCCTGTTGTCAGAGTATTAGGGCATATACAAGTGTTTTATGTGCCCTAATGCACAGGGGATACATTAGCTATGAAGCCATGTATTCTATCACTATATAGTGGCAATATTATTAAATTTCTTGTTGTAAATAAACAAATACTGAAATATAAACAGCAAAAGTTAAATTAATCATTTATATTCTGACTACCATTTTCGTTACATAGCTCAGACTAAACCTTTATCAGAAATGAAAACATTATGGGATTAATTTACTAGAGGAATGGAAGAAAAAAATATATTATAGAGAGAGAGAGAGAGAGAGAGATTCGGACTTACTATGGGGGGCATTTACCCTGATGTGGAATTGTGTCCATACTACTGATGACAAAAAAATCCACACATTAACTTACCAAAAAAACAGACAAAAAAAGAAATCAAAAGTTTGCTTTCAAAACATGATTTGCTCAAGGTTGGTTTAGAGAGACCCAATATAACACTGCCTACTAGTAATAGAAGGGGTGGTGAACACAAACCCAAGGACAGTGGGACAGCCTGAGGATGTAAACAGATATGACTTGCACAGCCCTGCAGGGTATAAAGATTTGCAATGAAGTGAAGAGAGCAATAACTGCCCTCCTATATAACCCCAACCATAGATTGTTTAAACATTAGTAACATAACATTAAAGAAATACACATACATGCAGTATATGCACAGACTTACACCCTAAAGCATTAGAAAAAACAAATGCAAGCAATACTTTCTGTTATCAATATGTTACAAATGTTTAAAGGGGAATTAGCTCAACATTAAAGCTGAACTCTGGGATAGTTAAATAATTTCACTGTTACTCCGTATCCTTTATCAAAGTAAAACTCAGCATTTTGCTTTTCCCAAGGTTACAAAATCTTAGCAAAAATTACCTTTTAAATGCCTGTGATGTCATCACCAGATCCAGGGAAAAGCAGCTTTGCTCAGGCACCGTGAGAAGGAAGCAAACACATAACTTCTTTCTGCTTGAAGTGATGCGTATTATATCACTTCCGGTTTTGGCCTGTCATTTATCTGGGTGATTTAGCTGGAGAAGAAGCTGATAAAGCAGATTTCTGCTTCATCAGCTTATTTACGGGTCCATAGGTGACATTAGGGGTCTAATTGACCCCTGATGTCTCCATAAAGAGGACGTGTCACATCCTCTTTGCTTACACATAGGGCCCCCTATGTGATAGATAGAAATAATGTTAAGTGTAAAAAAGAAAAAAAAGAAGCGAGTTTAAAAATGTAAGTTACATGTAAAAAAATAAAAAAGAACACAAAAAATGTTTAAGTCCCCTGCCCCATGTACACACAAATACAAATGCAAACACACGTTGGGTACGCCTACCTTTTTTTGTTTAGTGTTCTGTACTTTTTTTCTTTATATAGTAAAAAACCCAGTGGTGATTTCGTACGGCGTTGCATGGCTGAATAAATGTCAGTCAAAGTACCTCAGTGCTGAATACTCAACAAAATGGCCTAGACGGGAAGGGGGTTTAACATCCTGGTCTTCAAGTGGTTAAACAGCAATACTGCCAAAGCATCAGAATAGAATGTGCAAACATGTGGCAGTACCATGTCCCAAAGTCCTCTGGGTCCCTGCAACTCAACTCAGCAAATGAAGCACAGGTCACAGCAGCCAGTTGCTTACTTGAAATGGCACAGTAGCTCTCTCTCTATCTCTCTTGGTGCAGTCTGCACAGCAAATCAATTCCATCCACTATGTTTCAGCCAAATCCTCTCTTCTGGGAAGCTCACATGCAGACTTTCCACTGACCATAATTTTACCCAGGCTCACTGATTGCTCGGACAGAGGCAGTCACAGGCTCCCCTGCACCTAGGGCACCCCACTTAGCCTCTACACACTTGCTGAGCATACCCACACTTCAGGTCCCCTTGAACTGACTGTTGGACTAGGGTGGCCCAGTTCAGGCTGCAGCAGCAAACGAAAGTCCTCCGTTGTTTTCCTCTTCCTCTATCTACCTGTGCTCTCTGCCACAGCAAAGAGAAGGAAGAAAGAAAAAGGAACACAGTCTGTGCTGCCGAGGGGAGCGATCTTCTGGGTGTCTTATAGGATTGTGCTACACCGGGATAATTTTGAATGTAATAGAGTATCAAAGGACCGGTGTGTTTTATATTCATTTAGATTTATATACATACTGTACAGTATATATTTATGGGCAAAATCAAAAAGGACATTTATTATCCAGCCTGTCACTAGCTTTAACACATGCAGCATATTCTGTGGGTATAATGTTATCATCGTAAGCAGCTTATATGGTAGTCATCAGTCATGTAAACATTTCAAGTTCCAGTGGAAGATACACATATGGAATGGCCGCACCTACTTAGAGGTATATGGGTATCGTATAGAAACCTTAGGTAGTGTAAGGTTCATCTGAGATTAGAGGAAGGTGCCGCGTATCGGCGTGGGCCCGGGTGAAACTAGGTGAAAATTTACCTATCGGTAAATTTGCTTAGTAGAAACGTAACTGAGGACCAAAACGGGGCCACTCTGGGGCATGTCCAGAAGATATGGAGCAAATCTCCCGGAGCTTCCTGACAGCGCCAGCAACTGTTGGGTACAGAGGGATACATCGAATGGAGGAGCAGGGGGGTCCTGTACCACCTAGTAAGCAGCTTAAATCCGGATTCCTGGATTTTCGTGTGAATGGATGATTTAAAGGTAAAGTAGTGGATTCTCGTTATTTGGGCAGGTGTGAAACTGATCCCCAGATCCCGCTCCCATTTTTGGATATAGACGGGGGTGTTCCCTGCTACTGGGGTATTCAGTAAAGAATACATGTAGGAGACCGCGTGGCGCAGGTGTTCTATGTTGTCACATTACGCTTCAAAGGCAGTGAGCGGTCGGGAGAATTCAGTGGCAGGGGGTAATGTGTGAAGGAAGTGGGAGAGCTGAATGTTCCTCCAGAAGCCAAGTATGGCTGTTTTGGGATCCGACATTAAGAGTGTTCTAGTTGGCCATGACTCATTACATATAAAGTGTTTAGCTCTGAAACAGTTAGACGATGTAAGTGATTTAAAAATCCCGTCTTCCAGTCCTGGGGTGAAGCTTGGATTCCCCAGTATCGGGAAGAGAGGGGAAGGATGCGGTGAGATATGTAGAGCGTCAAAGACTTTTCTACATATCTTCCAGGTGGCTCCTACTGTCGGATGAGATCTGATTTCCGCTGGTACGGGTGAACTACACCAAGGGAGGCAATGTAGAGGGATAGCC